TGAGTCAATCCCTTGCACACCTCCTGTTATTACAGAGATATAAGTGTTTTTCCCAGCTAGGTTAGGTGTGCTGTTAGCTGTTATTTCCATTGATGGGGATCTCCCAGCACCGGGGAGGACCTGCACTGCCCCGATTCAGCACTTGGAGCTGCAGCACATTGACCCCAGCAATGCCCCTCGCTGGGAAAGCAGACCTTGAACTGCCCACTTGGGAAGAGCTGCTGAAGAAAATCACTGCTGTGATTGATGCCAGTGCGCGGGTGCCACGTGCTGTATGCAGCAATGGACGGGAAGGGAAAAGCCCATCATTTTCCAGGTTATTGAATCTGTCTGTGCAGCCAACAGATAGGAGGCAGTTGACACCCTGTGTTTGCTTCAGAAATCAGAATAATCCCAGCCCATGGGCTTTCTCCCTTTCACAGGGATTGCACATCCTTTGTTGCTTTAAACAAACAAGAAACTGGACAACTAGACTGAAAAATGCCTTTTTATTCTCTATGCTTCCTAAGCATAGAGCTCCTTCTGTACTTGCACCACTCTAATTTAAAGCTGCTTCTTTAGATCTGTGATGTTAAGGAGCTGCACATCTTCCACCCATAGGTAGTGGCATCCATGCAGAGGCAAGGCTGTTAAGAACTGCCTGAGTGACTCCACTCCAGCCCTTGCTGAGTCTCATGCCTGTGTTTCACATGGTGGTGGACACCAGATGCAGTAAAAGCCCCAGCATAAGCAGATGTGAGATAATCTGCTTCTGCCTCTCACTATCTGATCCTAATCCCTCAGTGTTTCAGTCCCAGAAACTCCAAGGTTTGATATCCCTCACAATGTTACTGGTAAACCTCAGTCTATTTGTTAATGTCGTTAAATGTTTGCACCTCCAGTTACAATCCTTGGGGAAAAAAACCCTCTTACCGGCAATTTAAACTAGGACTATTATTGCCATTTCTCTGCCTTCTAAAATTAGACCCCCTATATATTATTTACCGTTGTTTACTGCCATCCTGGTGTGGTGAAGACTGCAGCCTCATGGCTTGTCAGCAAAGCTCTGTGTGTCAGCACATGGGTGGCTCTGTCACAGTGGGTTGAGAGCCAGATGCGATTTACATGTGTGGACTGCTGCACTGAGGTTACCTTTATGAGGATCAGTGCTTACAACAGCTCCTTCCCATGGGCTGTTTGTGCTTTGGGGTGGGTTTTTGCAGTATCGCATCCTCTTCTGTTCGTGTCTGCTGAGGGGAGGCTGAGCCTCATAGGAATGTGGGGTCGCACGGAGCTGCTCATCTCACCTAGAGCAAGGTGAGTCCCTGTGGTCAAAGCAAGTGGTGACAGGGGCAAAAGGCTGGCTGGCTATACCTCCCCTTTCACAGCCCCAGGGCACTGCATGCAGCACACCTCGCTGCTGTGCTAGGATGCGGAAGGGAGAACCTCAAAGCACCGAATGGGATCTTGCAGCGAGGAGCCTTGGGGCTCCATACACCTGGAGTCCTGAGTTACTGCAGAACTGCTCTTTCACAGGAGTGGAGCAAGTGAGAGAAGAAGGTGTTTGGCTTTGGTAAAGGAAATCAGGTGTGTGGGCAAGAACCGATGGCTCCTGTGGGACAGGACCAAGCCAAGCCTCTCTGTCTTCGGGCTCTCAGACTCAGATCTGTTCATCATTCACCTTGAGACATCTGTGACATTGAAACCTCACGGCTGCACATGTCTGAGGTGCTCGTGGTGACCCAGATGCACCCTGGCATGGCAGCAGGGCTGGTGGCTGGGGTTGGCTCCCCCTTTCCCTGCTGCAGATAACAGAGGGGCTCTTTAAGGGATGCTTCCATGCAGATTTGAGTCGCTAGGTACCATTTGTGTTACCTAAGATGCAGGGATGTGTATCTCACCTGACAAAGTGCTCTGCCTTTGCACCTCCATGGGTGAGAAAAGGGTAATTTATTTAAATTTATGATGGCTAACAGGCTTATCTAACCACAGTTAAAATAACTTGCTAAATTATTCGTGTGATATTTGGAATCATGATTGTGGGAACAAATTAGCCGCCTGAAAACAGGAGACTGATTTAGCTCATTAATAATGGATTAAGGGAGGCCGGGTGCTGGGCGAGCGGCCAGGCTGGCTCTGAGCATACAAATGGGGTGTTTTCATGTTAGAAATGCGCTTTCTGGGCAGTGGTTGTGTGGAAAAGCATCACCAGCTCTGCTGAAGAGGATGTGGCTGCAGAAGCAGGAGTCTGCATCATAGAATCCCAGCCTGGTTTGCAGCCTGGTAGCGATGCAAAAGCTTTGCGTTGGGTTGGAAGGGACCTTAAGGCTCCTCCAGCCTCAACCCCTGCCACGAGCAGGGACCCCTTCCACTGGAGCAGCTTGCTCCAAGCCCCTGTGTCCAACCTGGCCTTGAGCACTGCCAGGGATGTATTCTGTGCCTGGTGCTCAGGGTACTTCAGAGCTGAAGGACCATGTCCCATGCAAATGCATGGCCATCCGATGGAGGGTTTATACTTACTTTAAAATGTCTCCAACACCAGTCCAAATGTAGCCAGCTTCACTTGTGTAAGTGATCCCAGCAAAGACCTGAGTCTAGAGAGTTTTCTTTTAGAGGTGAAGTGGTACCCAAGGTCACCCGGTATTTAGCAGAGTGATGCTTTCCTTCTGTGTCTCGCTTCCAAAGTCAGATAATGTGGTGGACATGTAAAGAAAACCACCTCATCACCTGGAGATCACCTCATGGGCATTGCTCTGCATAGAAATCAGTTCTTGCAGTGCCAAAGGACTGGAAGACATTTAAGGAACTTTGAGGATTTGCCAGATGATTTGGTGCGCCATCAGATAAGGATGATATAATACAAACAGGGCACGACTTGGGTAATGAGGGACTATATGTGAAGTGACGCGATTGCTTGATTAAGATAATAGTTGAAGCATGTGGAGAAGGAAATTATAATTTATATATTGCTGATTGTGAGGTTTATTTTAAGGACATAATTTAAGGATTGTCAAAAGCAGAAAGAAACTGAGCAAAAGTCAGTTACCTCAGGAAAAAACAGAGAAATTGCTGCTGAACAATTAATGTCTGAGGCAAAGCAGGAGGCAGGCAGCAAAGGGTGGAGGTGCTGGAGAAGACAAAGGCAAGAGCTCGTGTTCCTAGCAAAGAACTGAACCAGGAGCCAAACACCCAGCAGGGTCAGGAAGGGCAATGGGTGTATCTATCTGTACCTTATCCTTCCAGGGATAGTGGTAGATGCTTGAGTTGAGCAGGATGCATGGAAGCTCCTCCCACCGACTTTTTGCATCCCTGCTGCTGGGGATGCTGGTGTGCGAGTTTGAGCTAACCAGTCCTGCTGCATGTCTTAAGCCACCTGCACCGTGCCACCCATCTTTAGCTGTTGACAGATACCTGGAAATATCAACTGCTGCATGATCTAGGGGAAATAATGGTGTTTTATACCAGGCAAGCATGTGGGAGGAACTGTGAGCAGCCTTTAGCAACGGAGTGCTGCTTTGGTGATGATGAGTTATTGGTGACGGTGGGTGTGAGACTGGGGGGTGGGCGAGGTGCTAGCATGGCCAGAGCCATCTGCAGCAGCAGATAGACAACTCTGCATCTCCAGTGTTAGAGCATGTGAGGACTTTCCCCAGGGCAGCCAGCTTTCTGCCTGCCTTGCTGATTTGTTCATCTGCAGTGTCTTTTATTTGATTAACGTGGAGGGTTTCGCAAACTGATCAAGACAGACCCGGCCTGCCTGTAATTTCAGCTAAATTACAGTGATGCTCGATTTCAAACATACCTTTGATATGGTAATAGAAAAAGCTAATTTAGCATATTGCACAGGCCCTGGGTAAAGTGGAGGCGATACTGAATATTGATGGAACACATACACAGGTACCAGCAGTGGGGGGTAGTGATAAATACTCCTGTAGAGACTGAGTAGATTTATGTTGTTATCCCTCTGCAAGCTTGTACCTTAACTCCTAACACCTTTAATTAGAGCTGTTCAGAGCAGGTTTTCAGCTTGCTTCCATTGTGTTCCTATTATGAATCAAAAGTTTATTTGCTTCTCTGATGGGTGGGAAATAATGACATGGCATAGAAGCTCCCAACTGGCACAGCCTCCATCGAGATGACACGGTGGATGAAGCTGCCCGTGTGTTATGACCTTGATGCACGATTTAAATGGGTGATTTTTCAAGGCAGATAAAATCTTTCACATTAGGCAGTGGATGAGCCACTGGTTTGTGCTACGGGTGCAGCTCCCCCCTTCTCCTAATTAATAATAAACAGCAGTGCTGGAATAGATTTATGGCTGTCAGCAGAGCAGTTAACTGTCATGCCACTGATGAGTCAATGGCTTGTTGTATCATAAGTGCTGATAATACCCGGCTCTGGGCTGGGCAGTAAGCTGTGAGATGGCAATTTAGTTTTCACACACCATTTAGTTGTGCTTTTATTTCAGATTAGTCTCTGGGCTTTTTTCCCCCTTTTTATTTCAGTTCTAATGCATGAGGCTCAACAGTGACCCAGGTCACAGTGGGAGAACTCATTGTCACAGCCTGAGCTCCAGCTGCGACTGGCACTGTGGGTTTTAGAGAGGAGGATGCCCGGCAGAGACAGGGGAGCAACCAGCTCATTGGCACACCAGTGCCTGGTGATAACTAAGGACCAAAGTCCATGCTCACAAGGATCCGACAAGCAATAGGGAACCACCACCACAGGTAACGGACTGCATGTGCCTTTCCATAGCAGAGTCAAATTCAAAGCTTCATGTGGATTGCAGAAAGAGATGTCCTGTTCCCAACAATGTATTTCTTAGAGGAAGGGTAATGCAAGGACTCTTAGACTGATACTGCATCACCATGATGTGATGTGATTCAAGGTGTGGTTTAAGATGAGTTTAGGTAGCACAGAAAAGGCATGGGTCAAAGCTTGGTGGAGATGATGCTGTATTTGATTGCAAAGGGCTGCAAGTCTCTTTGTTAACCCACAGACTGTCTCCAAAATGGACTTGGTGATCTGTCTCGTTTTGAGGCTCTTCAGCAGATGTTCTCCTTTAGCACAATATATGACTGTAAATGATTCGAGATCATCTTTGGGCACCCCCAGATGTAGTTGGGATTCCAGGTACTTGTTCTGGGCTTTGTAGCTCCTCTCTGGTACTTTGCCTTCCCTTGCGGGTTGGCACGCTGGGAATTCCCTTTTGGTTGATAACATCATCACCTCTGTATTTCTCAGCGAGGTTCACCTGGATTCCTGATGAACCCAGGTTGTTTTACAGGTGAGCACAGTGTTGGGGTTTAGGGAGCGTGATGGTTTAGGAGATGATGGGGTCTGCTTCTTCACAAAGCTCTTACCCCACCTTCCTGTGCCTGCAGGCACCCCTTGGTGAAATGGTCCTTGCAAAGGGAATTTCAAAGCCTTTTGTGGAGCAAAAGACTTTTCTCTGCAGGTATGGAGATGCTCAGTACTATGGAGACCGGGTCTGGACCTGTTTAGAGCAAAGCTGCATGGAACGAATTCATCTGGGGAAGGAAACCTTGTCACCCTACACGCATCCTCACATACGGGCTTCCCAGTATTAACAGGAAAATGTCATTTGGGTGTATGTAGATAAGAAAGTAAAACGTTATTTTATTCAGGAAGTGAAATGGCCAGCAGAAAAAAAAGGAAAATCAGCCTATAAATAATAATGCATCTCTTTATATTCAGCTTTTTCCCAGTGAAACGACATCTGTTATATTCAATTCCTGTGTATTTTCTCACATCAGCTAAACAGTTCTCTTGGTGCTAGCTTGAAGCTCAGTCACACTGACTCCAAAAGGTAGAGGAAGATCCCATGTGAGATGGAGATGCCTGCAGCAGAACAGCGGAGGGCTTTCTGTCCAACAGCTCTTCTCTGTGTTTTAGCACTCATGGTGATATTATACAGAATTCACAGGGAGGCTTTATTTCTGCAGCCTCAAATCTCAAAGCTATTTTCCATCTGGCTGTTCTTTGTGAACAAACTTCCCTATGGAAGGGTTTGAGTCCATCTGGAGCAGGGCCTGGAAGTTCATTAAAACATAAGACTTGGTAAAATTAAAATGCACAAGGATCATCACGCCAGCTTGGTGATGGGAAATCAAAGGTAGTGCCTGCTTTCTGAGAAGAGAAGGATGTATCTGACACCCAGTGTTTGATGGGGTTCCCACACTGTTCCTCTCATTTCCTACTTGGTCACTGTGATGCTCGCAGTGTCTTCAAAGCAGCATTTCCACACATTTTACTTTTAAATTGCAGTGGGATTATAGCAACAGCACATGGTTACACACTTCAATGTGTGAAATAAATTGTATTTGATATTCTTTAACCCAACAATAATGGGCTGTGGGTGAAAACTTCCATCAGCAATCACAGCTCCTGATTTTGCACTTGGATTTACACTGCTCATCCTTCCCACCCGCCTGCTGCCGGTGGCTTCAACATGACTTGATGTGGCTGTAGGGATGCATCACTGGCAGCAGAGCCTGTGTGTCCAGGGTTAGTGGCCTCTGTGGTCAGCTCAGTGAATATCTCCCCACAAACACTTGGTTTCTGTTAAACATCTCAATTCAGAGTCCCTGTGTTCAGTGCAGCGTGAATCAAGCTGCATGTTCCCCAGTGCTGCGAAGTCTGCACTTCTGAAAGCAGGCTTTAACATCGCCATGATTACAGCCTAATGCAGGTTTCTCTTAGGGCATGGCCTCAATATAAGGATTTAATTTTGAGGAGGAAAGTAAGTGGGTGGAACTGAAAGCAATCCAAGTGCTCAAATGTCGATGTGCTGCGGCGTTTAATCGCAAGTAGCCAGTCAGTGGCTTTAGAGCTGCGTTACTTGGGCAGAGGAAGTCAAAGGCTCCTCGGAGTTGTTTCAGTGCTTTGACATATTAGGAGTTTTGGGGATCTGTCTGCATGATTCTTGTTGAATTTCATGGGTTATGGTCCTGGTGAATTTGGGAGCATGCCACAAAATGGACAGACAGCCCCAAATGCAGATACACAGAATCACAGAATAGTTTGGGTTGGAAAGGACCTTAAGATCACCTAGTTCCAACCCCCTGCCATGGGCAGGGACACCTCACACTAAACCATGGCACCCAAGGCTTTGTCCAACCTGGCCTTGAGCACTGCCAGGGATGGAGCATTCACAACCTCCCTGGGCAACCCATTCCAGTGCCTCAGCACCCTCACAGGAAAGAATTTCCTCCTTATATCCAATCTAAACTTCCCCTGTTTCAGTTTTAACCCATTACCCCTTGTCCTGTCACTACAGTCCCTAATGAAGAGTCCCTCCCCAGCATCCCTATAGGCCCCCTTCAGATACTGGAAGCTGCTCTGAGGTCTCCACGCAGCCTTCTCTTCTCCAGGCTGAACAGTCCCAACTTTCTCAGCCTGTCTTCATATGGGAGGTGCTCCAGCCCCTGATCATCCTCGTGGCCTCCTCTGGACTTGTTCCAACAGTTCCATGCCCTTTCACTGGTTGTCCTGTTGAATTTGGAATATTTAAAGTTTCTGTTAATATGTCTAAAAGCAACAGAAATGACATATAAATTCGGAAATTGAAGGGGCAGCAAAACATCTAGAGCTAACCGCAGAGTGGATGGATGGAGGAGATGCAGGAAAAGCAAATACTGGAAGAGGGAATCTTGTGTATGGGCAGGTAACTGCACTGCGACACTTTGCTCCTCTGAAATAGCGATGATTTATTCTATGTACAGAGCTGGCAGGCATTACTGGTGATGGTTCTGACCATTTCTTTACCTCAGTGCTGCAGCAAGCAGCCTGTTCAGGGCAGACATCCTGCATCCTGCTATCTCCTCTGCTGTGCACAGCTCTCGGCAGAGGGCCCTGCAATCTCTGCAGCAATAAGGAGCTGGGTGCGTTTTCACCTCCCCCTCCAGCATCACCTCTGGAGTATGGAGCCCCAGGAAAGGGAGAGGTGCAGTGTCTGTGTTCAGGTGTGCTCCAGCATGCAAAACCACAGATGCTTTGCCTCAATGACAGCCACTGACATCAGTAATGTCCACTTGAGCAAAAAAGCAGCTCCCAGAAGCCCTGAGCTTGGTCTCAGCAGAACAGCACCAATATAGTCCTTGTTCCATGGCTGGAGAGCTGAGGTGCTGGAAACAGCATGTAGGTATCTGAAGGTGCCAGCAAAGAGGTCCTGCTTTGTTTTAAGCATCAGGTTGTCCTTCCCTTGGGCACTGCACTAGAACTGTGCCATATCCTCAATCCGCCTCATGCCGAGGCTGTTGCATTTGAGCTGAGCTTGGCTTGCCTGTGGCCAGTTAGGGCTGGTTTATATTTCCACTACCTGCCACCCTCATATTCTTTGTTCATATACAGAAGATAATAAGGCTGAAAGGCGAAAATGGGTATGGTGATAGAGAATATCTAAAGAGAGCACATGATGTTAAGTAATGACCGTTAAACTCCGTCATAAATCCTTGGTGATGGTACAAAACCTTTGCATCTGCTCGCAAGGTAGAATTATTTCATGGCTTCCAGGCCCCATACGTGGATATATGTCAGTGCATCAGCATCTTCAGGGACACATCCATAATAAAGATAATACTAATTTTCATAGCAATGTGTTTTCCTGTCAGCCAAAGGTAATCAAGTGGTTAAAGGAGAACTCCGTTTGCTACCTAATGTGAAAAATAACTCATGCATTTTATGTCTCTTAGTCTTCCAACTTCCACCAGTGTCAGGCCACATTGGTTTTGCATTTACTGTAACAACCTTCGCGTAGATATGAGGCAGAGCATGCTAAGTGTGGGGTTTCTAACCCCTTTCCTTGTGTGTCTGACGTCCCAGCTGTCCATGGACTTTGGGCAGGATCAAATCATGGCTCCCAGCTAAAGAGATTTAACATGGAAATAAAAGGATGGATCAAAAATGAGGTGGAACAAACAGATGAAAATAGTAAGGAGATTAAATGACAGTAATTGAAAGGGTTTCTAATGTCTTAGATGCAGTACAATAACACTCCTTTACTATTTATCCAGCCTTGAGACCAGTTATTTCCTTGAGGAAGGTATAGACATGATGTAAGTGCTGTATTTTCTGTATCTGTTCTACCCAGGCTAATTGTAAAGCTGTCATGGAGAGGAAATTGGGTTGGTGCTGGGGGTTTGTGCTTGCGCTCTCATATTCATGAAGGTATAGGGAATCTCCAGCAAATTGTTTGGCCTTGAAGATGCTCCATTAGCTGAGGCAATGGGTGAATCCGGCATTCCTCAACAACGATCCCGGGATCCAGATCTCACTACTCAATCTTTCTGCACCATTCAGTCCCTTATTTTCTAAGTTTGCACAAAATACGTTGGTGAATTACCACTGTAGTGCATGAGGCATCATGGCAGAGGCAAGCACACTCACAGCACCTGGTTTAAGAGAGAAGATCATCCCAGGGCAGCACAATTACCACTCCCAAGCACTAATAAGGTTGTTAAAAGTCCCCATAAGAACAAACACTCGTGTTGAACACACACACACATTGTCTATGTGTGTGTATAAAAGGGAAATTTAAACCCTGTTTTCTGGCCAGGTCCCCATCAAATCCATCGCTCTGAGGACCACAACCCTCCTGTGCTGCAGAGGCGGTCCCATTGCCACTAGGGACCCGCAGCTCCCCATCACTGGGGACATGTCTCATGGTTTCATATCCCTTCCAACCTGCAGTGCCTTCCGAGCACAGGAACTGCTTTATTTTCTTGTCTTTGTTTGCCTTTTATATTTCTCCTTTTAATGGTGTATTAGTGGCAACGAAACCCATAGAAATAAAAGCACTCTGCAAAAAGGCTACAACAAAATACTTGATACCAGGGAGGGATGAATGAGACCTTGAAATTACAGCCTGCGATATATGAGTCAGTGCTGCTCGCAGGTACTAAAGGCATTAATTCCTGAATACTGTCTGCTTTGGTAGGTAATTTCTGTGACATGCCTGGAGAGGCTGGTGCCTTTCCCCATCTACCGTAATGAAGTATGGCAGGTTTGAGAGAGATGAAGGACTTTGCAAAGGTGCAGCAGCCTGACACCGGGATTCATTTTGAGCATGAGCTGGTTCCGATTTTATCTAAGCCTGATTCCGTCATCCTTGGAAAGGAGGGTGCTTGCTTTTGATGGTGAATCTTGTTATAAGTACTTATTTGGCATGCCAGTGAAGAAGAAAAGCTATCACGATTTGACATGTGAAACGTGAAGTCTCAATTACTTTTATGTTGTTTTTCCTTCTGTGGATGGGGAGTGAAAAATACATTTTAATTAAAAAGAGAAATGTGATACCCAGATCTCGGCATGCCTCGTGGAGAACAGCCTGGATTTGGAGTGCTTCCCAAGTCTTGGAGCACAGCTTGTGCTGCGCCTCACAGGCATGGGCAGCAGCCGTGGTTGATAATGCCGACTGATTGATTTGGCCATTATCTGACACCTTTACTTAAGGGAAAAGGAGGCTGTGGATGATGTCCTGCACATTCAGATAGCTGTTACTGTGATGTTCTTGATGCATTTTATATTCCAATCCTTCTTTTTCTTTGCAGGCCTATTCTTTTTAAGGAAATGAGGGTTATGAGAGCGTGCTTTTGCCTTCCATCATCACCTCCTGCCCCAGCCACTTCTGAATCCCTTGACCAGCCTGAATTT